ATACACGCGTACACGTATGCGTACACGTATGCGTACACGTATGCGTACACGTATGCGTACACGTATGCGTACACGTATGCGTACACGTATGCGTACACGTATGCGTACACGTATGCGTACACGTACATAGGCACATGTGTGCGTGTATTTGTGTGCACGTACATATATGCGTGCTGTGTAGTTTTTATGTCCTTCGAGCATGAATTAATTAGTCCTCATGAATGATTCTTGTATGTACATTTCAGTCCGTTATGTCTTCCGAGCATGGAGTTCTAGTCTAGGTGATAATTATGCGGGTGGAGGAGGTACACGTTAAGTCCAGCTTCAATCAATGGACTGGGCGCAGGCCGGCGTAGGCCATGTTGAGTCCAAGCATCCCCGAAAATTAAAAAATACCAGAGGCCTGACAGATCAGTTATGCCAGTGTCACGGGTTAATTGGTAACTAATCCATCGAGATGTCTTATTTAAGGGGAACGAATGGGCGGGTGTATTGGTATGGCCCTGAAGTAAGAACCAGATGCCAGTTATAGTTTCAGGTTAGTCACCCCCACGTTTGATGGGCCCGGAGCGAGAAGAGGGGCATTGGTGGGCGGGTTGCTGGTTTCACGGAGGATGGTAGATTAAGCTACTAACCAGTGGAAGGGGATAGCCATGGTGTCTAGGACTGTTCGAAACTTGATGTGCTAATGTACGACCAGTGCTATAAATGTACTATGTACGATCAATACAGTAATGTTTTATGTACTTTACCTTAGGTAGATACTTGTCTGGGATATTCATGTGGTAGAGGTGTTGTAGTACGAGTTAACATGCCATGTTGTATGCATAGTCAAGAGTTTGTATGTGCTTGCTTGATATCCATGTGGGCAAGAAATGTATGTACGATATACATATATGTACTATGTACTGTTATATTGTTATGTATTAGGTGAATTATGTATGGGGAAGGGCACGTAATGCACGAAGTACATAGCCGTAGGCTATTTTGTTTTTAAAGCAGAGTAGTTCTAATGTTTTTATTCAGGGAATAGTTTAATTAGAATTTCAGCTTTGGGTGTTGAAGGTGAGACTTAGAGTTTCTTCCTTGAGGTTGTCCTAGGGAGGGTGTATTCTCCATTTTTGGTTTACAAGACCAGAGTATTAAATATACTACAAGGGCTCTTCATTTAAGTATTTTATTTTCGAAAAGGCTTACGGTTGGTATAATGATAAGGATCAGAGAAAAATATAGAATAGAGGCTACTTGTCCAATAGTTACGAAGGGGTGTTCAACTGGTTGGCCTCCAATTCATGTAAGGATAAGTAGGTCTGCCGTAAGGATTCAAAATATAATTTGGCTAAGTGGTCGGAATGTTATGCTTCGTTGCTTGGCGGTTTGTAATATAGGGATGATTGCAAGAATTAGAATTGATATAACTAGAGCTAGGACTCCTCCTAGTTTATTGGGGATAGATCGCAGGATAGCGTAGGCGAAGAGGAAATATCACTCTGGTTTGATATGGGGAGGGGTGCTGAGTGGGTTGGCCGGCATGTAGTTGTCAGGGTCGCCTAGTAAGTCAGGGGAGAAGAGTACTAAAATTATAAGTGTAATTAAAAGGAATATAAGTCCTAGTAAATCTTTAATTGTGTAGTAAGGATGAAATGGAATTTTGTCTGATTCTGATGGAATACCTAATGGGTTATTTGATCCGGTTTCATGGAGAAAGAGGAGGTGAACTATAACTAGGGCTAAGATAACAAATGGTAAAATGAAATGGAATGCGAAGAATCGAGTGAGTGTGGCTTTGTCGACGGAAAAGCCGCCTCAGATTCATTCTACTAGATCAGTGCCTATATAGGGGATTGCTGATAATAAATTAGTAATTACTGTTGCGCCTCAAAATGATATTTGTCCTCATGGGAGAACATATCCCATAAAAGCAGTTGCTATTACTGTAAATAATAAAATGATACCAATATTTCAGGTTTCAGTTAGAGTAAAGGATCCATAGTACATACCTCGTCCTACGTGGAGGAAAAGGCATAGAAAGAATATGGATGCTCCATTAGCGTGTAGGTAGCGAATGATTCAGCCCTGGTTTACATCTCGGCAGATGTGAGTTACGGAGGAGAATGCGGTTGTTGTGTCTGCTGTGTAATGTATTGCTAGAAATAAGCCTGTGATGATTTGAATGACTAGGCAAGCTCCTAATAGGGAACCAAAATTTCATCAAGAAGAAATATTGGACGGTGCTGGAAGGTCAATGAATGAGTTGTTTATGATTTTCATTAGTGGGTGGGTCTTTCGGATGTTGGTCATTAAAGTTTTTATAGTTGAATTACAACGATGATTTTTCATGTCATTAGTCATGGTTAGAATCCATGTAAGAACTATGGTATATGCTATTTTTTTATTAAGCATTATTCTTGTTTTAGGTTTTATGAGTTTTTCTTCAAAACCTTCGCCTATTTATGGGGGTGTTGGACTTATTATCAGTGGGGCAGTAGGTTGTAGTATTATTATGGGGTTTGGGGTTTCTTTTATGGGTTTAATAGTTTTTTTAATTTATTTGGGTGGAATGCTTGTGGTATTTGGTTATACTACGGCTATAGCTACTGAAGAGTATCCCGAGACTTGAGGCTCTAGTATTGTTATTTGAGGTGCCTTGTTGTCGGGGATTTTGATAGAATCATTATTAATGGTTTGATTGTTGGAGCATGATGGAATGGAAGTAGCAGTTGGTTTTAATAATTTAGAGAGTTGGATCATATTTATGGATAAGGGATTTAGTATTATTCGTGAGGATTCTTTGGGTGTATCGGCACTTTATAATTATGTTAATTGATTTATAGTGGCTGCTGGTTGAGCTTTGTTTGTTAGTGTATTAATTGTAATTGAAGTTATTCGGGGAAAGTAATTAGGAAATAAGTAAGAATATTATAAGTGCAGAGGCAATAAATGATATAAAATATAATTTGATTAAGCCTTTTTGATTCGAAATCGTAGTGGAAAGTGTTATTTGTGTTTTAGATGTAATTTTTGGTATAGTTTTTTCTAATCAAGTGAGATCTAAAAGAGATGAGGCTATATTTTGTCCTATATATAGATTTAATAAGGGAATTGGGCGGTGTATGGTTGTTGGAAAAAATCCTAATATGTTAGAGAATTTAAATATGCTCGAGGGAGTTTTTAGTTTAAGATTATTTGTTATGGTATTTAGTTCTATTGCTAATACAAAGCCTAAGAGGGTTACTGCTATAGCTATTAATTTTAGGTACGTGGGTATTGTTATTTGAGGAATGTTTGTGGGTAAGATGTTAAAAGACAGGAAAAACCCAGCGAAGATGCTGCCGATTGCTAAGCGTTTAATGGGATTGATCAATAAGGGGTTATTTTCATTGATAATGGATATGGAAATAAATCGTGGTTGACCTAGTAGTACATAGAAAATAATTCGGGTGCTGTAAACGGCTGTTAGGGATGTGGCGATGAGTGTGATAAGAAGGGCTCAGGCGTTGGTATTTGAAGTACTTGTTGATTCAATAATTAGGTCTTTTGAGTAAAATCCTGTGAGAAAGGGTATGCCTGTAAGAGCTAGGCTTCCAATAATAAGGGAAGATGAAGTAAATGGTATGGCTTTGAATAATCCTCCTATTTTTCGAATGTCTTGTTCGTCATTTAGACTGTGGATAATAGAGCCAGAGCACATGAATAATATTGCTTTAAAGAAAGCATGATTACAAATGTGTAGGAAGGCTAGATATGGTTGGTTAATTCCTATTGTAACTATCATTAATCCTAATTGACTTGAAGTAGAAAAGGCTACAATTTTTTTAATATCGTTTTGTGTCAGAGCACAGATTGCTGTGAATAGTGTGGTGATGGCACCTAGACATAATATTAGTGTTTGGATGTTGTTATTATTTTCTATTAAAGGGTGAAATCGAATTAGAAGGAAGATGCCGGCAACTACTATGGTGCTAGAGTGAAGTAGGGCTGAGACGGGGGTTGGTCCTTCTATTGCTGAGGGAAGTCATGGGTGTAAGCCGAATTGGGCCGATTTTCCTGTGGCTGCAACTAGTAAACCGATTAGTGGTAATATGTTTAGGTTATTATCTAATATAAATAGTTGTTGAAATTCTCATGTGTTAGAATATATAAGAAATCATGCTATGGTTAGGATAAATCCAATGTCTCCGATACGATTATATAGGATTGCTTGAAGAGCTGCAGTGTTAGCGTCTGTTCGTCCGTATCATCATCCAATTAGTAAGAAGGATATAATTCCTACACCTTCTCAGCCAATAAATAGTTGGAATAGGTTGTTGGCGGTTACTAAGATAAGTATAGTGATGAGAAATATAAGTAGATATTTGAAGAATTGATTAATACTAGGATCAGCGTGTATATATCATATTGAGAATTCCATAATTGACCAAGTAACGAATAATGCTACTGGGATGAATAAAATTGAGAAATAATCTAATTTGAAGCTAAGGGTTAGTTTTAGGGTTTGTATAATTATTCAATGTCAGTTGGAAATAATTATTTCTTGTCCTGAGAAAATAAATAATGTTGTAGGAATAATGCTGGTAATGAATGCGTATACAATTGATAGCTTTACGTATGATGCGTAGGATTTATTTTTGTGAACGTATAGAATATTGGTTACTAGGGGTAAAAAGAGAATAATTAATGTAGTTAATATGAATGAGGTATATAGGTTTATTACTTTTATTTGGAGTTGCACCAATTTTTTGGCTCCTAAGACCAACGGATAACTCCTATCCTTTAAAAGTTAAGGGAGCCATATTTTTATATATGGATGATAGAATTAGCAGTTCTATTGTTTCACTCTCTTTTGGTAAATAGAAGGGTTTAAGCCTTCGTTATTAGATTCACAATCTAGGGTTTTATTTAAACTATATTTACAGTATGTTAGTCCTATAATAATTTTGGGGTTAAAGGTTAATATAATAAGAGGTAATATATGTATAGATATTAGAGTATTTTCTCGTGTATGGGAGGGTTTAATATTGTGAATGTGATATGTAAATTTACCTCGTTGTGTTATAGTAAGTATATAGAGAGAGTAAAGGGCAGTAATAAGTATGTTGAGGCCTGTTATAGTAATTGTAACATTGGATCATGAAAAAGATGCTATAATTACGAATAACTCTCCAATTAGGTTAATAAATGGAGGTAGAGCTAAGTTAGTTAGGCTAGCTAGTAACCATCAGGTAGCTATTAAAGGTAGGAAGGCTTGAAGTCCTCGCGCTAATAGCATTGTTCGGCTGTGAATGCGTTCGTAGTTTGAATTTGCGAGGCAGAATAGTATTGATGATGTTAGGCCATGTGCAATTATTAGGGCTGTAGCGCCTATAAAGCTTCATGGTGTTTGTATGAGAATTGCTACGATAACTAGCGCTATATGGCTGACTGATGAATAAGCGATTAATGATTTTAGGTCTGTTTGTCGTAAGCAGATTGAGCTAGTTATGATTATGCCTCATAAGCATAGTATAATAAAAGGGTATGCTATAATTTTTGTTGTTGGGTTTAAAATAATGGTGAGGCGTAGTATACCATAACCACCTAATTTTAATAGTACAGCTGCAAGGACTATGGATCCGGCAATAGGGGCTTCTACATGTGCTTTGGGTAGTCATAGGTGTAGTCCATATAATGGTATCTTAACTATAAATGCTATAATGCATGCTAATCATAGTAGATTACTAGATCATGAACTAGATATATCTTGAAATCATATATTTATTACTAAGTAATTTAGTGACCCTAGGGAAATTTGCACGTAAATTAGTGCCACTAATAATGGCAATGATCCAATGAGGGTATAAAATAGGAAATATAAGCCTGCGTTTAGTCGTTCTGTTTGGTTTCCTCATCGGGTGATGATAATAAGGGTTGGAATTAATGTGGCTTCAAAGAGAATATAGAACAAGATTAATTCGGTGGCTGAAAATGTTATAATCAAAAATATTTGTAAGGAAATTAATATGGACAAGTATAGTTTTTTTCGTGTTGGAGACTCTTTTATAAGGTGGTGTTGACTAGCTATAATTATTAGTGGAAGTAACCATACCGTTAGTATTAGAAGGGGTGAGGAGAGTGAATCAGAAAAGAATGTAAGTGAGAAGTTATTGCTATTATTTCCAGCTTGATTTAGTAATGGTAGAGTTATAAGGTTAATTATTAAACTACAGGAAGTTATATTAATTCAGATTATGGTGCTGTTGGAGTATCAGATTACTGGGAATAATATAATTGTTGGAATGATAATTTTTAGCATTGAAGGAGATTAAGATTTTGGATATGGTCTAGGCCATAGATATTTGATACTGTAACTAATAAGGCCAGACCGATAGCAGCTTCACAAGCTGCAAAAACTAACAGTAAAATGGGCATAATGAAGGATATTGTGAATTGTATATTTAGGATAATTAGGGTGCTTAGAATAAATATTGATAATATTATACCTTCTAAGCATAGTAGGGATGACATTATATGGGAGCGAAATATTAGTATGCCTAGGAGGGCGGCAGTAAAAGCCAAGATGATATTAATAGAAATTGAGGGCACATTGGTAATTATGGATTACCATAATCTAATGAGTCGAAATCAGTTATTTTAGTTTAAACTAATTACCATTTTATTCTTCTCATTCTAGTCCTTTTTGTGACCATTCGTAAACGAGACCTAAGGCTAGAATAATAATTAGTATGAGTGCTATTGTTACTGTAATTTTAAGACTATTTGATTGGGATGCTCATGGGAGTGGTAGGAGGAGTGCGATCTCTAGGTCAAATAGGAGGAATGTAATGGCTACTAGAAAAAATTTTATGGAGAAGGGTAGACGAGCAGATCCTATAGGGTCAAAACCACATTCATAGGGGTTGTTTTTTTCTGCATATATGTTTAATTGGGGTAGTCAAAATGCGACTGTAACAAGTACTAGGACTAATATAATATCAATTGTAAGGGTTAGTGGGAGGTTAATTATTCTTTTTCGGGTTTATACCGAAGCTAATTGATTGGAAGTCAATTGTACTAAATAATACTAAAAGAATATGATCCTCATCAGTAGATTGATACATAAAGGAATAGTCAGACTACATCTACAAAGTGCCAGTATCAGGCCGCAGCTTCAAAGCCGAAATGATGACTAGAAGTAAAGTGAAAATTTAATTGGCGGAAAAAACAAATTGTGAGGAAGGTAGATCCGATGATAACATGTAATCCGTGGAATCCTGTTGCCATAAAAAATGTTGAGCCATATACTCCGTCTGAAATCGTAAATGGTGTTTCGAAGTACTCTGAAGCTTGTAAAAGTGTAAAATAAATACCTAATATAATAGTAATGAGTAAAGATTGTAGTATACTTATGCGGTCGCCTTCTATTAAGCTGTGATGAGCTCATGTAATAGTTACTCCTGAGGCTAGAAGGACAGCTGTATTCAGCAATGGAACTTCTAGGGGGTTAAGAGGAATAATACCTGTTGGGGGTCAGCAACCTCCTAGTTCTGGAGTAGGGGCTAAGCTTGAATGATAGAAGGCTCAAAAGAAACCCGCGAAAAAGAAAATTTCGGAAATGATAAAGAGAATTATTCCGTATCGTAGACCTTTTTGAACGGTAAAGGTATGGTGTCCTTGGAATGTACCTTCTCGTACAATGTCTCGCCATCATTGATATATTGTTAATAGATTGGTTAGTATACCTAATGATAAGAGGATAGTTGAGTTAAAATGAAATCATATAGCAAGACCGGATGTTATTAATAGAGCAGAAAAGGCTCCTGTGAGAGGTCATGGACTGGGATTAACTATATGGTAGGGGTGGGTTTGGTGGGTCATTAGGTATTATCATGTAAATAAAGACTTACTAATAGGGTAAAAACATATGCTTGGATAAGGGCAACAGCAAATTCAAGGATTGTGAGAAGAATTAAAATGGTGAACGTGATTGAGGAGACAGTTGGGCTGATTGAAGTTAATACTATTGTAGCTCCACCAATTAGGTGAATTAGCAGGTGACCTGCTGTGATATTGGCTGTTAGTCGAACGGCTAATGCTATAGGTTGAATAAAAAGGCTAATGGTTTCAATGATAATTAGTATAGGGATAAGAGGAATGGGTGTACCTTGAGGTAAGAAGTGGGCTAGGGATGCTTTTATTTTGTGGCGAAAGCCTGTAATTACTGCAGCTGCTCATAGAGGAATAGCTATGCCTAGATTTATAGATAGTTGAGTGGTGGGAGTAAATGAGTGAGGTAAAAGACCTAGAAGATTTGTAGAGCCAATAAATAGAATTAGTGATATTAATATAAGTGATCAGGTTCGTCCTTTGATATTATGAATTGCTATCATTTGTTTAAGTACTAATTTAATAAATCATTGTTGTAAGGATATTAATCGGTTTCCGATGAGGCGATAAGGGTTATGTAAGAAAATACTTGGGAATATAATGATAAAAATTACGATGGGAATTCCTACGATTGTTGGGATAATGAATGAGGCGAATAAATTTTCGTTCATTTTATTTCTCAAGGATTAGTAAATTGATATTTTTTGTTGTTTTTAAATTTAGGACCTAAAGGAAAGTTGAATTTTGAGACCTTTAGTTGAAAAATAATGAATAGAGTTATGATTATGGATATAATTGTAATTAGTCATGTTGATGTATCTAGTTGTGGCATCTCACTGTGGAAAGATTTAAAGACTTTCAATCTTTAACTTAAAAGGTTAATGCTTATTAGCTTCACAGTGATATTACAGTGTAGATAGTAGTCACTCTTCAAAGTGCTTTAGCGGAACTAGTTCTAGCACAATTGGTATAAAGCTGTGATTTGCACCACAGATTTCTGAGCATTGACCATAGTAGATACCTGGGCGTGAAGTCATTAGGGTTGCTTGATTTAGGCGCCCTGGGATAGCATCTGTTTTTACACCTAAAGATGGCACAGTTCATGAATGTAGTACGTCTTCTGAAGAGATGAGTATGCGAATGGATATTTCTGTTGGTAATACTACTCGATTGTCAACTTCTAGTAATCGTAGTTCTCCTGGATCGAGTTCTAAAGGAGGGGTTATGTATGAGTCAAAGCATAGGTTTTCATAATCTGTATATTCGTAACTTCAATATCATTGATGACCTATTGTCTTAAGGGTCAGAGTGGGAGTTGTAATTTCATCTATTATGTATAAAATACGTAGTGATGGAAGGGCAATAAGAATTAAAATAACCGCTGGTAGAATTGTTCATACTGTTTCTACTTCTTGAGCGTCTATGGTGCTTGTATGAGTGAGTTCCGTGGTAAGTATAAGGGAAATAATATAAAGAACTAATGAGCTAATTAAAAATACAATTATAAGGGTATGGTCGTGAAAATATATAAGTTCTTCCATGATTGGGGAAGCGGCGTCTTGGAATCCTAATTGGGCTGGGTGGGCCATAAAGATATATAGGGATTTAACCTATAAATTAACTTTGACAAAGTTATGTAATAATTTTACTAATATCTTCTATGGAGAAAGTCATAATGGTTATGTGGTTGGCTTGAAACCGATTATAGGGGGTTCAATTCCTTCCTTTCTTAATTAAGCTTTTACATAGGCAGGCTCTTCAAATGTATGATAAGGCGGAGGACAGCCATGAAGTCATTCTAGGTTTGTTGAAGTTGAGTCTACTATATAAACTTCACGTTTCGATGAAAAAGCTTCTCAGATTATAAAGATTATTAGTATTACTGCTGTTAGGGAGATGAAAGAGCCAATGGATGAAACTGTATTTCATATAGTGTATGCATCGGGGTAGTCAGAGTAACGTCGAGGTATTCCTGCTAAACCTAAAAAATGTTGGGGGAAGAAGGTTATGTTTACGCCTACGAATATAATTGCGAAGTGAATTTTGGCTCAGGAGTCATCTAGAGTGTAGCCTGAAAATAGGGGGAATCAGTGCACGAAGCCTCCTATAATAGCGAATACCGCTCCTATTGATAGTACATAATGGAAGTGAGCTACCACATAGTAAGTATCGTGAAGTACAATATCTAGTGATGAATTAGCGAGTACAATTCCTGTTAAGCCCCCTACTGTGAAAAGAAAAATAAACCCTAATGCTCATAATATAGCGGGTGATCATTTAATGTTACCTCCATGCAGAGTAGCTAGTCAGCTAAAAACTTTTACACCAGTAGGAATTGCAATAATTATAGTGGCTGATGTAAAATATGCACGGGTATCAACATCTATTCCTACAGTAAATATGTGGTGGGCTCATACAATAAATCCTAGGAATCCAATAGATATTATGGCTCAGACTATGCCTATATATCCAAATGGTTCTTTTTTACCTGAGTAGTAAGTGACGATATGGGAAATTATACCGAAGCCTGGAAGAATCAAGATATATACTTCAGGATGTCCAAAGAATCAGAATAAATGTTGATATAAGATGGGGTCACCTCCTCCCGCAGGATCAAAGAAAGTAGTATTGAGATTTCGATCAGTTAAAAGCATGGTAATTCCTGCTGCCAAAACTGGTAAAGATAAAAGTAGAAGCACAGCGGTGATTACTACTGATCAGACAAATAGGGGAGTTTGATATTGTGATATGGCTGGGGGTTTTATATTAACTACTGTAGTAATAAAATTAATAGCACCTAAGATTGATGAAACTCCGGCCAAGTGTAAAGAAAAAATAGTTAGATCTACTGATGCTCCTGCGTGGGCTAAATTTCCTGCTAAAGGGGGATATACCGTTCACCCAGTACCTGCGCCCGCTTCTACTATTGAAGAGGCGAGAAGGAGCAGGAAAGATGGCGGTAAAAGTCAAAAACTTATATTATTTATTCGTGGAAAGGCCATGTCTGGGGCTCCAATTATTAACGGAACTAGTCAGTTACCAAATCCTCCAATCATAATTGGCATGACCATAAAGAAGATTATGACAAATGCGTGGGCAGTTACAATTACGTTATAAATTTGATCATCACCTAATAGAGCTCCTGGTTGGCCGAGCTCTGCGCGGATGAGAAGGCTAAGGGCTGTTCCTACTATTCCGGCTCAAGCTCCAAATAAGAGATAAAGAGTTCCGATGTCTTTATGATTTGTTGAATAGAATCAACGGTTAATGAACATAAGTATAAGGTAAAATGGCTGAGTAAGCATTAGACTGTAAATCTAAATACAGAGGTTGAGCCCTCTTTTTACCAAGCTCTGAGGTGAGTTTTCATATTGAATTGCAAATTCAAAGAAGCAGCTTCAATTCTGCCGGGGCTTCTCCCGCCTTTTTTTCTGAGCGGCGGGAGAAGTAGATTGAAGCCAGTTGATTAGGGTGTTTAGCTGTTAACTAAAGTTTCGTGGGGTTATAGCCCACCAATCTAGTAAGGACTTAGCTTAATTAAAGTAGTTGATTTGCATTCAGTTGATGTAGGATAGAATCTTGCAGTCCTTATTTGCAGAAATTAAGTAGTAATATACTTTCTTAGGGCTTTGAAGGCTCTTGGTCTATTTAACCTAAATTTCTAATTTAGGGTTGAGAACACTGGTGATAGTGGAAGGGTTAAAGTGGATAGGATAATTAGTGGTGATAGGAATAGGGATCGCTTTTTGGGTTGGAATTGTCATTTTATTTTAATGTTATTTGGTGTTGGGAATAAAGTTAAAGAAGTAGAATAAATTAATCGTATGTAAAAGTATAAGTTTAGAAGCGCTATAATAGCTATTACTGTGGCTATAGCAATATTGTTATTTTTTGTAAGTTCTTGAATGATGACTCACTTGGGGAGAAAGCCTGTAAGAGGAGGTAGACCTCCTAAAGATAGTAGGGAGATTAGGATTATTATAGTGATTGTTGGTGATTTGTTTCATAGATTTGATAGGGTTAAAGTGGTTGTGTTTGTATTTATGTTTAGTATAGTAAACATAATGATGGTTAATATTAGATAAATAAGAAGGTTTAATATTGTTAAGGATGGACAGAATGTGAGGATCGCTATTATTCATCCTATATGTGCAATTGATGAATATGCTAGGATTTTTCGTAATTGAGTTTGGTTTAGTCCTCCTCAGCCACCAACTAGGACTGATATTAGAGCAATTAATAGGAGGATAATTGAATTAATTGATGTAAATATTTGTATTATAATGGAGATAGGGGCAAGTTTTTGTCATGTTAATAATAGTATACCTGTTATTAATGAAACTCCTTGTGTAACTTCGGGGACTCAGAAGTGAAATGGGGTTATCCCTAGTTTTATTGTCAGGGCAATGATTATTGTAAGGGAGACAATTATGTTATTAGGGTCAATATTAGTGGTGGTTCATTGGCCTGAGTGTATAGCGTTAAATACAATAGTAAATATTAGCAGTATAGAGGCTGTTGCTTGTGTAAGGAAATATTTGGTGGCTGCTTCTGTGGATCGTGGTTTTTGGTTTTTTGTTAAGATTGGAATAATTGATAGTATGTTAATTTCTAATCCGATTCAGATTAGAAGCCAGTGTGAGCTAATTATTGTAAGTATGGTGCCTGTAAAAATCGTTGTTATAACAATTGTAAGGATTGGGAGCTTAATTAGTACGGGAAGGATTTAAACCAACATTTTCGGGGTATGGGCCCAATAGCTTATTTAGCTGACCTTACTATATGGATAGAGTGTAGTGTATATTGGTTGCACGGTGGATTTTGAATCCTTAAGAATAGGTTCAATGCCTATTACTCTAGAAACAAGAGGATTTAAACCTCTATTATTTACTCTATCAAAGTAATTCTTTTATCAGACATGTTTCTTATATTTGTGGGGGAATACTTGATGTTGAAACAGGGAGGGAAATATATCATATGCATAGTGATAGTGTCAAGGGGAGGAAATTTTTTCATAGTAAGTGTATCAGTTGATCATATCGGAATCGTGGATAGGATGCTCGTACTCATAGAAATAGTATTGCCAATAAAAGGGTTTTGGTGGCGAAGTTTGCTGAGTATATTTCTGGTATGTGGATTTTATGTAGTGTACCTAAAAAGATGACTGTGGTTAAAGCATTTATTATGATGATATTTGTATATTCGGCTATAAAGAATAGGGCAAAGGGTCCTGCGGCGTATTCAACGTTAAACCCTGATACTAGTTCGGATTCTCCTTCTGTTAGGTCGAATGGGGCTCGGTTTGTTTCTGCTAGGGTAGAAATAAATCATATTATGGTTAGTGGTCATGATGGAATAATTAATCAAAGGTGTTCTTGAGTTGTGACTAGGGTAGAAAGAGTAAATGACCCGCTTATTAGGATAATCGACAGGAGGATGATGGCAAGGGTTACTTCGTATGAGATTGTTTGTGCTACTGCTCGTAGGGCCCCGATTAGAGCGTATTTTGAATTGGATGCTCATCCGGATCATAAAATTGAGTATACAGCTAAACTTGATGTAGCTAATATAAATAAGAGTCCTATATTTATGTTGATTAGAGGTTGTGGAAGTGGTATAGGAATTCATATAATCAGTGCGATTGATAGTGCCAGAGTTGGTGCGATTGTATAAAGTGATGTGGAGGAGGCCAGTGGTCGTAGTGGTTCTTTGATAAATAATTTTACTGCGTCAGCAAAGGGTTGAAGTAAGCCATGTGGACCTACGATATTAGGTCCTTTTCGGAGTTGTATATAACCTAAGATTTTTCGTTCAATAAGGGTAAAGAATGCTATGGCTAGAATAATAGGGATGATGAGAAGGAGTAAATTAATTATAAACATTAGTGTTAAGAAGAGGAGTTGAACCTCTGATAATAAAGGCTTAAGTTTTATGCAATTACCGGGCTCTGCCATCTTAACTAACCCTTATCTTGGGTAGAATATTAGTTAGCATACTAGATTAAGTTTATTACATCTATTATGTTTAGGGCGCTAGGTTTGAGTTGGTCCTTTATTCTCTTGTCCTTTCGTACTGGGAGAAAATTTAAATAGATAGAAACCGACCTGGATTGCTCCGGTCTGAACTCAGATCACGTAAGACTTTAACCGTTGAACAAACGGACCGTTAATAGCGGCTGCACCATTAGGGTGTCTTGATCCAACATCGAGGTCGTAAACCCTATTGTCGATATGAACTCTATAATAGGATTGCGCTGTTATCCCTAGGGTAACTTGTTCCATTGATCAAATTAATTTGGGTCAATTAATGTAATATGAACACTTTGACTGGTTAGGTCTAGGTTAAAATTGTTCGGAGGTTGTGTTATGCTCCGAGGTCACCCCAACCGAAATTTTTAATCCATAAATAATTATTATTTTATATCTTATTAGATTCAAATATGTTTATTTGGATTATATTATTTAAGCTCCATAGGGTCTTCTCGTCTTATTAGTACATTCCCGCCTCTTCACGGGAAGGTCAATTTCACTGATTAAAAGTAAGAGACAGTTGAACCCTCGTGTAGCCATTCATTCAAGTCCTTAATTAAAGAACAAGTGATTATGCTACCTTTGCACGGTCAGGATACCGCGGCCGTTGAACATGTGTCACTGGGCAGGCGGTGCCTTCAATATTTGGTAGGCTGAAGGTGATGTTTTTGGTAAACAGGCGGGGTTAAGTTTTGCCAAGTTCCTTTTACTTTTTTAGATCTTTCCTTAATGCATGCCTGTGTTGGGTTAACAGAAATTTGAGATAAAGAGCTTGTGGAATACATATATCTTTATCTGATTGTTAATTACCAGTGGGCATCCGATCTGGTATAAGCTTATGCCAGGAGAATTAAGATTCTTGTTACTCATATTAACAGTATTGCTTCTATAAGATAATAGATTGATCCAGTTGTTTAGTAAGAGATGAATATATATTTATTAGATTAAGAAATTATTATGTGTTGAGCTTGAACGCTTTCTTAATTGGTGGCTGCTTTTAGGCCAACTATGGTATTGGTTTTGTTTACTCTGTACTGAAGGTTGTAGCCTGATCTAGAGAGCTGACCCTCTTTAGAATAACATTTAAATTAACATAGGGTCTAATAAATTACTTTAGGTTAATTTAAAGTTGAACTAAAATTCTTTTCTGGATAACCAGCTATCACCAGGCTCGATAGGCCTTTCACCTCTACTTATAAATCTTCTCACTATTTTGCCACATAGATGAGTGTGCTCTTAAATAGCTGTTTATGAGTAGCTCGTCTGGTTTCGGGTCCCTTGACTAAAGTTCTTTTTGTCAAATTGTTCTAGTTAAGTCATTATGCAAAAGGTACAAGAGTTTAGCTTTGCTTCTTTATACTTTATAGTTATTCTTTCATTTTTTCCCTTGCGGTACTATTCTCTATAGCTCTGAATATAATTTCTATCTCCTATACTATTATTTATTGTGGTAAATGTTTTAATTAAATGATATGTATTTATTGTGAAGTGGCATGTAGTCAGGCTAAGACTAGTTTCAAAGCGGTCACGTTGTTGTGAAATCTTCTGGGTGTAAGCCGGGTGCTTTGTATTAAGCTACACTTTGAATATTCCAAGCACACTTTCCAGTACGCTTACCTTGTTACGACTTGTCTCCTCTTATAAATTAAAAGTTGTTATTAGGAAATAGATGGGTTGTATTTGAGGAGGGTGACGGGCGGTGTGTGCGCGCTTCATGGCCTTATTCAGCTAAGCACTCTATTCTTAACTTACTACTAAATCCTCCTTTGGTCTTTCGTTTCATAAAGATTACTGTGATTATTGTTCTGTTGTAAGAAAATGTAGCCCATTTCTTTCCACCTCATGGACTACACCTTGACCTAACGTTTTTATGTCATATGTTTGTGCTTACTTTACAGCCTTAGTAGGGTTTGCTGAGGATGGCGGTATATAGGTTGTATTAGCAAGAGGTGGTGAGGTTTAACGGGGTTTATCGATTATAGAACAGGCTCCTCTAGGTGGATGTAAAGCACCGCCAAGTCCTTTGAGTTTTAAGCTATTGCTTGTAGTTCTCTGGCGAGTAATATTGTTTATTATTGAATTACTTAAGTTTAGGGCCAAGCATAGTGGGGTATCTAATCCCAGTTTGGATCTTGGCTGTCGTGGCTTCAGATGTATTAAAGTCACTTTCGTGGGTTATTTTTATTTTAGCTGGAGCTTTTTACAGCTTAGATAAAATTTAACTTTATTTATAGTTTATCTTAAACACACTTTACGCCGTAAATTATTAGTTTGGGTTAATCGTATGACCGCGGTGGCTGGCACGAAATTTACCAACCCTTATTTTATCAGTATAACTTAGTCAAACTTTCGTTTATTGCTTAAGTTTTGTCACTGCTGTAACCCGTGGGGGAGTGGTTTAGCAAGGTGTTATGAGCTGCTATGTTAGTGTGCTTGATACCCGCTCCTGTTGATAATGATTATAATTAAGAATATCTAGAGGGCATTCTCACTGGTATGCGGTTACTTGCATGTGTAGGCTTACTGACAACTAATAATAAGGCTAGGACCAAACCTGTATGTTTATGGAGTAAGAAAACTCATCTAGGCATTTTCAGTGCCTTGCTTTATATTATTTAAGCTACATTAAC